GAAAGAGTTTTGGACAGTAGAATAAATCAGACATAACTTTCCTATATTCATGTATAAATACATGACCAATGAAACTCCACATCATGTACAACTGCAAGAATGGGATGCTAATCAAAATAAGTTACATTCTATGTATATATGTCAAAATACACTCTATTGTCATGTATATCTAAGAAGAACAAATTTTTTAAAAAAGAAAAAYAAGAGTTTTGGACATTAGAATAACAATCTGAATGAACTTAGCATTACTGTACGCTTAAAATGACTTAAGATGATGCATTTTAAATTACATGTATTTTAGTACATTTAAAAATAATGTATGCTAGCTCCTCCTTTTGTGTTATTATGTAGGAATTTTACAGAACTGCTTTCATTTACTTGACAACTATTTCTTGARTACCTGCTAAGAGCTAGGTACTAGTCTAAGGGCTGAGATGTGGCCACAAACAGAACCGGCAAGGTCCCTAGTCCTTAGGACATACAATGCACAGGAGGAAACAAAATAAATATTTTGTAATGACAAGTATCATGAAGAAAACAAATTAGAATGGATGTAACACTGAGCTAATTGGAAGCAACTTTTAATTGGGTGTCAAAGGTTATTGCAGTATTAGGTACGTGTGACTGAGAAAACAGCCGACTAGCCATACGCCAACAAGAAAGTAAGAGCTATTTTGAAGCACTCTTCAATTCAGGCTGCTTCAGTGCGATTTAAAAATACACAACAACCATAGTTTAATTTTTTTCATGGTCTAACTTTTAATACTTACTGAACTAGATTTTTCATAGGAAGAATAGTGGTAATATTCAGGGCTTTATTCTCTGAAGAGAGTAAAACACAAAGGCCTGGGATAGGGATTCTGGTGGGTCCCCCSCTGTGGACTTGCCAAAGGTTGTAGTGTGACTTTTTAAGATGAAACCGTTGCCAATGATTGCAGCTCTGTGCACAGCAGTACCTGGGGCCCAGTGTGGGCAGGTTAACAGGACTCCATTTGTCTCTCTAAAATTAGTTGCTGGAGGCCCTGAATCCAACTAGAGCAAGGCCAACCGATTCTTGCACTACCTCCACTTCCCTCTTCATAAAAGAAAGCTGTTCTGGGATCTAACGATCCGCTTACAAAGGCACGGATCTCAGCAATCACATGTCCTTGCCCCATTAGGACTCATGCTCTGTTTCTCAATCAGCCTTACCATGAACTTGGAGCCCTGGAAAGAAGAGGCCAGTTCTAAAATCAGAGGCCTTTCTTAGATGCCATAGAAGGAGATCTCTGCAYAGCCTGCACTTCTTTATCATTAATTTCTGGACGTAAACCATACTTCATTATCTAGTATGCGGAGAAAACAAACACGCTCATGGAGGTGCGTGTAACAATCTACCAGGAGCACAGGACAGAAAGGGATAAAATTGATATCTTGAGGGGCCCAGACACTAGAACACGTTTTGGGAAGAAAAACAGAATAGGATGAACCTGATCCCTGCCCTCAGACTGGCTAGAACACAAAACGAATCAAGCACTAAGGAATCGTGGCAGGTAGTCTGCCAGAAGAGGGGTTAGAGAACTACAAAACAGGAAACGTTACCTTAAGGAATGAGGAAACACTTCCAGAGAAAATGGCATGCAAGCAGAGATCTGAAGTGTTCCTTGAGACTAGGAGTGGCAGGCAGGGCATAACCCATTCAGGTATAGAGTGTGAGGAGGTGGTGGGAGGGGAGGGTGAGACCAGGCTGAATGCAGGTTGGGGCTAAATTTTACAACATATTTATTCATTTAGTAGCAAGCAGACACAAATACAGTCCTTCAGTCTGTCTGTAAATCTGATAAAAATGTCCTTTATCCATTAGATGCTCCAACAACCAGTAAAAGTTTACCTCTGTTTTCTCCATTCTTTCTGAAAATGTCTGGATAAAACTAAGGAAAACATCACCATTCCAGTCCTAATCCTTTGCATCAAAATAAAGATCAAAAGACATTTTGAAAAGTTCTTTACAAAAAAGAAATACGAATTCAGTGAATATACATTCAAAACAAAGGTAGTCAGAGGAATTGGAACACTTGTGCACTGTTGTGGGAATGAAAAATGATGCAGCTGCTATGGAAAGAATAGTGGCCCCTCAAAAAAAATTAAAATAGAATTACCACATAATCCAACAACTCCACTTCTAGGCATATACCAAAAAAAAAAAAAAAAAAGATTAAATGTACGGCATCAAAAAGATTTTAGTGCAATCATGTTCATAGCAGCATTATTCATAAGAGCCAAAAATTGGAAACAACCCAACTTTGAGATGTGACTGAAGAAACACAAGTAATATATACATAGTGTAAATATTATATGGTTAAGAAACAAGGAAACACTGAGACATGCTATAGCACTGATGAGGACATTATGCTAAGTTAATAAGCCAGAAATAATACTGTATGATTCCAGTTAGATAAGTACCTAGAGTAGTCAACTTCATGGAGATAAAGAATCATGGTTGAGAAGGACTACAGGGTTAGAGAAGAATGCAAAGTTCACATTTAATTGATAGAGTTTCCATTTGGGAATGTTTTAATCGGCTTTTTTTTTTTTTTTTTTTTTTTTTTTTGCTGCTGCAACCAACTTTACTTGGTCTGGTCATAACCTTCCATTTCCTTACAATGTTCTCGTGGCAAGTGTCTGCTTATGGATTCCTTTCACACTCCAAGCTGTAGTGGTTTTTCGGTCACACTCAATTTTGATCACTGAGATTGGGAAGTGTTTTAGTCAATTTTTTTTTTTTTTTTTTAGCCACTGTGAACAAAATACCTGAAAAGAACAAATTTAGATGAGGAAAAGTTTATTTTGGGGTTCACAGTTTCAGAGATCTCAGTCCATAGAAGGTCGACCTCATTGTTTGAGACAGAGTATCATGGCAGAAGGGTGTGGTGGAGGAAAACAGCTCAGGACACGACATCAGGAAGTAGCATCAGGAAGCAAAGAGACTGTTGCCCTGGGCAGGGACAAAATATAAACCCCAAAGGCACACCCCCAAATGACCACTTCCTCCAGTCACACCCTACCTGCCTACAGTTACCACCTAGCTAATTCCCATCAGGGGATTAACACCCTGATTAGGTTAAGGCTCTCATAACCCAATCATTTCGCCTCTAAACTTTCTTGCATTGTCTCACACATGAGCTTTTGAGGGACACCTCATATGTAAATCATAACAAGGAAGATGAAAAGATTCTGGAGATGGATGGTAGTGGCGGTTACACGCCAACTTAAATACACTTTAAAATTGTTAAGATGGTAAATTTTATAATATCTGTACTTACCACATTTTTTTTAAGTTAAAAAAGAAATCGAAAAGCTTGTAATTCCCATCCCTGGGATTGTTCCCTTCAGAATATCCAAAATTATTTCAAAGCACCTCTGAATTAATTTTGACTTTTAGAAATAGTTTTTTTTACTTTTAAAATATCAATTACTTCAATTACTTTTGAAACAAAAATTCCAAATATTTTTAAACTTTGAACTTGACCTCTATAATAGACACATACCGTACATGATTGCCAAACCTTTTAATATAATTTCCTACATTTAGAGTGCCACTTTACCAAAATACAATTCCCACACTTCCTTCCTTTCTAGGTTGAAGGCGTGTAAACTAGTTTCCATCAATCAGACCCACCCTTTGAGACTTGGATAGTGAAGTGTGCAGTGTGAGGTGGGAACCATTATGTGGACATCAATATTCCTTTTTTTTTTTTTTTTGCTTGTGTGTATGTTTTGTTTATTTTTATAATATTGGGATTGAATCCAGGGGTACTCTACCAAGTTTTTAAAAAATAATTATTTCTGAGTTTTAAGTGGACACAATATCTTTATTTTACATTTATGTGGTGCTGAGGATCAAACCCAGTGCCTCCTGCATGGTAGGCAAGCACTCTACCACTGAGCCACAGTCCCAGCGCCTAGAAACAGTTTTATAATTCTAACAAATTATAAGGACAATATATTTCCATGGTCCATAATATGAGACGTACAGAAAAAAAAATTGTTAGAGAATAATTTATTAAGTAAAAATCATGAGTTTCACTCAAACATAAACTGTGCATGTGTCAAATATTTTAATTCAATATTTAAGGGGAAAAATACTATGATGTTAAAAGCAGTTCAAAAGGACAACGCAAAGAACACATACCTAAGGCAAACAGCAATGATAACATGAATTTACAAACCAATGTTAACTAGTCAGTATCCATTGCGCAATGATGAATGATATTCCATCTGGACAAACTCATTTGCATACTATGAACAAAAATAACTTGAACTATTACAGTTTTTCTACAATTTACAGAAGTGTGAAATAGCCCAAAGCCAAGGAAAGGCCACAGGACCCTCTGGGGTTAGATAAACCTGCAAAGTGCGCCATAAAAGACWCTCAATAATCCGTCCCGCCCCGCCCCGCTGCTTTTTCCCACCTCGAAGTCTTCCACGATGCTGAAAACCGACAAACAAAACCCAAAATCCTTTGTAACTCCTCAATTCAGAAACACCCTGGCTTTGATCCTTTTGAGTTAAACTTAGTCGGGAAGGCGGAGCATTTACTAAACAACTTGATTGCAACATTTTGGGGCGCGCTTCTGGCCCAGGGCTTCTTTGGTGCACACCTGTCCCGCGCATCCCAGGCAGCTGGGCGCGTGGGGTGCCGCACACTCTGCAGCTAGTGGCCGCAATTCGACTGCGCAGAACTAGGGGATCATCGGACAGCCCCTGAGAGTGCAGGGAGAAGCTAATCTGCAGGGGCCAAGCAGTGACCAAAGAAAACTTTCAGAACTGAGATCCCCTGAAAACCCGGGAAACTACGCAGCAACCAAGACCCGTGGGGCTACCGCAGCGTCACTGCCTCTTTCCTTCCCCGCCCACGGCCTGCCAGGCCCCAGCCAGGAGCCAGGGGCGGGGCGACCTTTGCTCAGTCCAGGAGCCATCCCAGCCGGGCGGGGTCCAGCGGTCTAGCTGAGGGCGGGGTGTCCGAATCTCCCCGAGTCCGAGGTCTCAGAGTGCCAGGTGGCTCCGGAGCTTCTCGAGCTCACCGCCTGCCCCTCCCACCCAGACTGGGTTTGGCCACCCAGTCCCGCACCTGGATCCGCGGTTTCGGTCAGACCCGCCCGCGAACTGGTTTCGATTAGGGACTGGAGCSGGGCGGGAGGGCGGAGCGGCCAGGATGCGAGGAGGGGACTAGGGCGAGCCACGGAGTGGGGACAGACCCGTGCGGGAGACAAAGAGCGGCCCAGAGACAGCAGGGCGCAGCGCGGCGACCCGAGGAGCGCCCGAGCTGATTTCGGGGGTCAGAAGCCGAAGGAGCTTCAATACCGAAGGCAGCAGAGAGCCGTCGTGCGGCGGGTCTCCCCGGGATGCGGACGCCGGTGGTGATGACGCTGGGCATGGTGCTCGCGCCCTGCGGGCTGCTGCTCAACCTGATCAGCACACTGGCCCCCGGCTGGCGACTGGTGAAGGGCTTCCTCGACCAGCCGGTGGACGTGGTGCTGTACCAGGGCCTGTGGGACATATGCCGTGAGCAGAGCAGCCGTGAGCGCGAATGTGGCCAGCCGGACCAGTGGAGGTACTTCGAGGCCCAGCCGGTGCTGGTGGCGCGGGGACTCATGATCACGTCGCTGGCCACCACCGCCGTCGGGCTGCTGCTGGCGTCGCTCGGCGTGCGCTGCTGGCAGGAGGAGCCCCAGTTCCTGCTGGCGGGCCTCTCGGGCGTAGTGCTCTTTGCCGCGGGCCTCTTCAGCCTCATCCCGGTCTCCTGGTACAATCACTTCTTGGGGGACCGCGACGTCCTGCCCGCCCCGGCCCAACCGGTCACTGTAGAGGTTAGCTATAGCCTGGTGCTGGGCTACCTGGCCAGCTGCCTATTGCTGTTGGGAGGCTTCTCGTTAGCGCTCAGCTTCGCGCCTTGGTGCGAGGAGCATTGTCACAGCTGTCGCAAGGCGCCCCCAGCCGGGCCGCGCCGCAGCAGCATCAGCACAGTCTACGTGGACTGGCCAGAGCCCACACTTACACCGGCCATCAAGTACTACAGCGAGGGCCAGCACCGGCCGCCACCCACCGAATATGGTGCCACTCGCAAGCCCAAGGTTGGTTTTCCCATGCCGCAACCGCCTCCCAAGGCTTACACCAACCCGGTGGACGTGCTCGACGGGGAGGGGGGAAAGGCAGCCACCTCCCAGGGGGCATCCTCGCGCAGCACCCGGCCCTGTCACAGCTCGCTGCCCTGCGATTCTGATCTGTAGACCTCACCTCTTCCTTCCACCTGCCCTGGCGAAGACCCTGGGCTTGGGAATGCCTGCACCGTTCTACCTTGAACTTGCCAGCTGAGAAGCAGTCTGACTGGGGATTGGAACCCCCTCACCTTCCTGAAACTGATTGGAAGGGCGATCTTCCTTTACTGTGACCAAACTAGGCTCTTTGGCTCTTCGGACGTTTAGTTCAGGTTAGGACAGTTTTTTGTTTGTTTGTTTGTTTGTTTTTAGAATTTCATTTTTCTTTGCTGAAGGAGAGAAAGGTATTGTTTGTGTTAACAACCAGGGACAGTAAACAAGAAGAAAAAGTTGAAATCAACAAAAAAAGAGGCTCAAAACTGGTTTAAGTGTAACTTGAAACTATAGTATTCTAACACTAATGAACTGGTTTAAGTGTAACTTGAAACTAGAGTATTCTAACACTAATGAATCTTGGATCAGTATAATCATTGCATTTTATTTTTCCTTTGCTTTTTAACTTCTTGTCATGCCAACTCTGGAAAGGCCAGTGTATTTCTGGTTGTATATGAACCCAGGCTCTTCAAGAGTCATGAAAATACCAGCAGCTTTAGTGGCTTTTATTGAACAAAATAATCTGGTTAACTCATGCGTGCATCTCTTCTTGTGTAGATAGGATTTATCGTTTTTATCACTTGTTTTTTGGTGTGAAAGGTCATTCAAGAGCTTCTCTTCCAGAAGCAAGGTAAATGAAGGCATGCACACAATACTGTTTTTTTCTTCCTTGAATACCTCACCCTGGACACAGAAGACTCTAGATTTAATATTTTTTACAAAATGGAACCTCATATCCAGATATGTATATATCTTTTATTTATAAATAAAAAACTTAAACATCAGTTTCAGTAGGCCATGAAAGCTTTCTATATCTCCAGTACCACTTTCGATAGTTGCAGCATTCTTGACTAACCATTTCCTGGCTACCTAGGCACTGCTTCTGAAATCTCGCAGTCGGACCTTTGCACCTCTCTGCATTAGATTACAAAAAGAACACCCCCACCCACCTCAATCCCTGATTGCTTTTGTTTCCAGGTTTGTGCAGCATTCTGTACCAAGCCAAGGCTATTGTTGAAAAAACTAGAAGCACAGGTTTCCACTTGAAGTGAGAGAAATCTTTTCCTCTTCTTGAAGTGGTGCTTAAAGTCACAGGTAGGAAGCTCTGTGTTCCACTAAGGGGACTAAATCTCCAGGAGGGCTGGCTTTCATTCCAAGTGGTTGATTTAAAGGTACCTTTCACTGAACTGAATCTCTTTTTTAAAACATGCAGTTTAAAAGCGGGAACCATCATTTCAGTAAGCACTGACTATACCGAGAGCTATGATGGAACCAATAAAAACATAGCTGCTTGTGCAGTGGACACAATGACATGCCTTCACATCTCTTGTGATTCTGTAGGGGAATCACCTGGGTTTTTGTTTGTTTGAGACCCAACTTGAAGGATGGGTAGCGCTATCACTTTGGGATCCTTTTCAAATTCAGATTCTGATACTATAGGTCTGGGGACCCTGAAACTGATTTCCCAACTGGCTTCTAGGAGATGTCAAGGCTGATGGTTCACGGACCCACTTGGAGTTGCCATGTTTTAGTTAGGACTTTGCCTCAAATTAAGTTTCAGTCACTGCTGGCTGTTCATAGACCTTTGAGCACCTGCCCAGGTGCATTTGGGGACTTGCTGTGGGAGCTGAATCAAAATGGAGCAAAGGCAGCTGCTCTTTTCAGCTAACACTTCAAAAGGCAGTCATTATTGCCTCTGGGAAATCAGGACCTTGCATACAACATAGAGAGCCCGGATTTCTGGCAAGTACTGAATCTCACCTGCATCCTAATTCCAAACATTTCTAAGGAAACCTTGGTAAAAGCAAAACTGGTGCTTTGTACGTTTCACTTTCCCTCCTCTCTCAATTATTCCCCACTGGCTTATATGTGAAACACCCTTTCTCTGATGATTAGGATTTGATTACTGAAGAGTTAAAATTCTATGTTTGCCCTATCAACAGAAACAAGTCCAAAACTCCATTTTAAAAAATGCAAACTTTTGGATATTGTCATAAAAGTGTTCAGGATGGCACGGAGAGAGGCTCCTGCATCCTGCTGGGATCTGTTTTTGGACTGAAGGCCATTCTCTGCCAGAGCAGCACACACTTGACAGGGGCTTTAGACAAGGTGTGGGAGGAGGTGGAGTCTCAGGAGTCCTGCTGTGGGTGAGACTAAAACTTGAACTTGGTACTGGCTGACCTAGCAACTGCATGGCAGTGACCCACTAGTGTAGAGTAGCACTGTCTCCCACCCAAGCTCTTCACACCTGTTTGTGATGTGCCATCACGGCTCATTTTTAACCCCCTCAATCAGTATACCAAGCACGTGTCCCCACTTAACGCCTACAGGCTTTCCAGGATTACTTACATTATGCCTAGAGGACCAAGAGATCTGGGCAAGTGGAGCAGAAACTGCTTTAAACCAGCTCCTGTTCTTCCTGTCCTCCAGTCTGCTCTCCTGTGAATGCCCACTGTGAATGCCCACATCCTCATTAAGAAGGGGTGTGAGCTGTTTATGCACTGCGGGGGCTGTGGGTGGTGCTGTCAGGGTGCTTCAGCAACCACCCTCCTCTTCTTCTTTTTTTTTTTTTTTTTTTTTTAAGAGAGAGAGAGAGAGAGAGATTTTTTTTAAAGAGAGAGTGAGAAAGAGAGAGAGAATTTTTTTTTAATATTTATTTTTTAGTTTTTGGCGGACACAACATCTTTGTTTGTATGTGGTGCTGAGGATTGAACCCGGGCTGCACGCATGCCAGGTGAGCGTGCTACCGCTGGAGCCACATCCCCAGCCCAAGCACCCTCCTCTTTGTTGCATAGATCACTCACCCAGTAAGTTTTGGGGACACCTGACATTTTGCCAGCACATTTGTGGGCACCATGGAAAACAATTATTTCAGGTCCTGAGGTATTCTAGCATGAGAGGTATTGTTCAAGTGAAAGGAAAAATGGAAAAGCAGGGTCCAGAGATGGAGGAGAAAGGATGATAGGTTAGGAAAAATGTTGAGGGAGGAGGTGAGATGGGAGATGGGAGCAGAAAACTGCTGAGAAGAGAATGGGGAGCCTTCTAGGCAGAAAGAGCAGCAAACCCCAAGTTCCCACATAAAGTACGAGTAAAACACAATGCTTTACTCATACTTCATTCTATAATAGTGTGGTAAAAACAGAAAAAAACCCAATGGAACAATTGAGTAAGACTGAATAAATCCAAATTTTACCCCTTACCAGATTAGTTTCTGTAGAAGTAAATACAGTCTGAACAATTTCTGAAAATGCTCCAGAATCAAATATAAACAATGGATGTGAGAGTAGCTGATGGAACCCTCTGTTCATCAGGGTATAGACAGGCCCACAATCCAGTCGACAGGTAAGTAATTAGAACCTGAGAGCCTCAATCACATTCTCAGGGGTGCTGGAAAAGTTTTTCAACCAGGGTCTCTCTCAAAAACCCACCCATCTTCAGTCTGACCCTCCTAAAGTGAAGTCTTTGTCATTCATCTCTTTAAAGCCTTCAGGATCTCCCTTCCTTAAGTGTCACCCACTTAGCTCAAACTACTTGACTTGGCTGAGGCCTGAGTTTTCACCCTGGTTACCTTCCTGAATCCGTTCACATTCAAAATGACTCCCTTCCCCCATCAGCTTAGAGGTGTCATATTTGAACATATCATTTACATGTGGCTTAACCTTTGGTGCTTTTTTGGGTTTTACCTCTAAATTGAAAGTAAAAGCATGAATAGTTCCCGTTTATCTCAGTGTCTATGAGCAATGTATGAGGGTTACCTCTTAAAGCGTTTTCTGTACACAAGAGCTTCCTCCTCTCACCTTGCCACACACGTGCAAAGTGATCTGTAGCCCAAGGCCACTGGCCCCAMAATCTAAGGGTGGAGTCACTACCCATGAGGTCGATCTCCCCGTGTGGGAAAGAAGGAAAATAAGGGACTCAATTATTACTTCTTGTAAAACCTTGTTTGAAATTCTCACCCAGATGTCCCAACAACCTCCACCCACGTTCCTCTATCTGGTCACAGGCACAGTAGAATGACCTCCTCCCGCCATTCTTCATTAAGGACTGAAGACACGGAAACAAGGTTGAATTTGCTCAAATCAAGGAAAACATACACAAGACTCGGCATGGGGCTAGGGATGAGTAGGGGACTTGATTCTTCAGTGGGGCGCATGGAGAGAATGGCTTCAGACTTAATTGCGTCTTTACAATTCTTGTCCAACTGGTCTGCCCAAGTTACACAGACTGACAAGAAGGTGAGCCAGCAGGCAGTCTCACTTAGAAACCAGGGTGACTCTAAGATGGAGAGAAAGCCTACAAGGGTACGTGTGTACATTTCACACACTAAGCATATTTGTGATTCCTATGGCAAATGTCCCTGTCACCTCCCTTCCTAAACCACTCTGAGCACCACTCATGCCAGTGGCTGTGTTATAGTTAAAGCTTTGTCCCAGGGTTTCATAAACTGACTTCCAGACCACTCACGTATAATCAAATCAAGCCTTTATTGAAGCACACTAGTRGTGACTGATCAGAACATAAAGCTGTTCCCCTGATCAGCCCTGAACAATTGCAAGGGCACTCCTTATAAGCCTGAAAACCGCAAAAGGGATGTTCAGGGGGTCTAGCCAATGCAAGCAAGCCAGGTTACAGAAGCAGGAGCGGAGGGAAGTCTAACCAATCACAGTTATCCCAGTCACCCCAATTACAGAAACAGAGCCCCGTTACCCTAGTTACAGAAACAATACCCCATTAGGTAGTTCCGTGTTCTTAAAGGTTTCTATAGCAAAAGAAAAAGAACATCTTGCCCCAGTCATGACTCTTCTACTTGGCATGGTTGTTTTACAGGATGAAGTCATAAAACAAAATGGAGTCWCATTTGCTCCTACTACCATAGCTGTATCCATCATTAGACTGAAGGAGGCTAAAGGAGGTTACTTAGATGTTCCCAGAGTTTAAATGACATATGCCTTTGGGGCTGGGGATGTGGCTCAAGCAGTGGCGCGCTCTACTGGCATGCGTGCGGCCCGGGTTCGATCCTCCAGTGCCACATACAAAGATGTTGTGTCCGCCAATAACTAATAAATAAATATTTTTTAAAAAATGACATATGCCTTTAATGTAAACCTTGCTCTTTCTGGATTTTCCCTTCGTATCTAGTACTGGACTGAATTAGATATCATCAGAGGGCTTCTCTAACTTCAATACTCTGAAGGTGACCATTAAAAATTAGATGAGGCCAGAAGAGAAATGAAATTTGAACAGTGGAGGCTGGGGAAGCTGATTGACCTACATAATTCTGTTGTCGGTCTGAAAGCAACAAACTCCCTATTCTAGTTCTTGATTTGTCTGAATTCTATAAGCCCCCCCCCAGGAATTAAAAATAGTAGAGACTTAATATACATCCTCCCACCAAGACATCTTCCCCCTTGTGTCCTAAGAAGAATTAGTATAAGTTCTTGGTTTAACTCTTAATTGCTAGCAGCAGACATAAAAAGTTTTGTGTAGGGCTCTTTGAACCAATTAGCATTTATAATTCTAAAAAATTCTTATTTTTTTTCCAGAAGAAAACCCAAACCTATCACTGTGTTAGACAAGTTGAGTTTCTAGAAGGAAATTTGGATTTTACATCTGCCACAGGCTTACTGCTCCATCTATTAGGTGTAGATAAATTAAGAAATTAAGAGAGATCATCATAAAAGAAGGTTCTTGTAGTTGA